AAAGTTTAATTTTGGCGGATCATGCATCTGCACCTATAGCGTAATACCATCCGAAAGTGGCGTCATTCTCAAAGTGCTTCTACGTGATGGCTATTCGAAATGGATCGAATAAGTAAGCTGCAACCAAAAACTTTACAGGACATTATCGCGCGTGAAGTTGTACTTCAAATCCAGAAAGCAGTCATTTGATTATAATTTAGCAAGATTACGTCGACACTGGTCTATTGCCCGTGTGTGCACGTGCACGTGCACTGGCTGCATTTGATTGCTATAGTCGGGCTGCGATGTTCGTCTCCCGGCCTCCCTCGTCACGCCAAGACGGGGTTTACCCGACGGGCACGCCGTTGGTCATCGGAAGGAGGGACAAACGTGACCTCAAAATTAGCATGCAAATTTGGCGAGTAATTATTCATGCCCCGTGGAGCGTCGTTCCTCCCCCTCTTTAGCAAGTGAAAGCTCTTCCTCGGGGGCGCGCTGACGCGTTTACGCGGACGTGGTTACACCTGCTCGGTTTTTTCAACGATTCACCGCTTTGCGAAGAATGGGCTATTTAACAGTAGTATTTCTTGGGAGGATAGTACAAAGATTTATTTGGGCGTCTCGATATGCAAGACGAAAGGCTGCTTTGCGTATTTGTCCGACCGCGCGTTGAGTTATACTACTTGTTGGATGGGTTGTGCGTGGAACAGGACTTATCTTGAAAAAATTTATCATTTCCTGTGCAAAGCCATATTACATCAACGAGATTTTGCAAGAGATTCGTCTTGCTTGAAAAATCGTACAAGCCACCCGAGTCGCGGGAGCTGAGAAAAAGCCATAAACTTTTCCTACTCTATTGAAAAATTAATCAAAAAACACTCGCAGCTTCCGGAAATTACCCCTCCACTGCATTAATTCAGAAGAATCGCTTCCATCCAACATCTTCGAATAAGCGCGGGTCCGGACATTAACTCGCGCCCGAGATTAATTGTATTACCCCGCGAGTTCTCACGGCTCTTCGTCTTCCTCTGCTTTGCTCGTCCACGCGAACTTGTGCAATTTTCCAGCTCCTCGATCACTTTTCTTTCGCCTCTCTCTGCTGGAGATAAAGCGCGGAGCATCGGCTTTTCACGCTTTTCTCGCTCTGTTATGAAATTTTCTTGTTTCGCCTCCGCTGACAGGCATAGTTGTACACAAGCTTTGGTAAATGTGTGTGGTACACGTTTTGCAGTGTGATAAAAAACGACTTTGATACGATTACTCATTTATTTGGTCGAACGTATACATCCAAGCTGTAAGCTGTCAAACGAAAATAAGGTGAATTCAACGTGAACGCGATTTATATTAAATCCAACTCTTAAGTACTTTGATTTATGGCGGATTTAGCTGAAAATCACTTGGATTGAATTTTCATTACGTAAAATTGAGAAATTATAATATGAGATTCGAGAAATAACAACGTTATAAATATGTTGATTTTTTTTTTACTTTTGATTAAAAATTTCCAGTGAAATCTATTTTTCTTATATTTATAAAATGTTTAAGTCGAAGTTTACTATGATGATATAAAAAAAAATGTAAAACGTACCCCAAACAGCTCTCACTCTTTTCATTTTTTGCAGCTAGAGCTTTTTTAAGAAGCAACTCTCCTCTTGCTGCTGTGACAGTGTCAGCGACTTCAACTCCGTAAATTTATTTTCCGCTCGTCGCAAAAACCTCATCCTCCTCCGGGGGGATAAAGTCCGCGTGCTACCTGGACACTACCCGGGACTTTTCTCCCCCATTGTTTATGGCCTCTGGCTATCTCGAACTCCTCCGACTCGTAAGCTCCGCTACGTATTATATATATATACATACACCCACGCGAACTCGCGTACTCCACCCATTTGCTTGTCTCGAGCTTTTAAAAAAGACAGAGGATGAAAAACACAAGACTCCTCCTTCTTTTTCCAGCCCAACTTTTTTTTCTCCTTCACTTGTATTTTCTGCATATTACTAATAATAATAATTATTTGGATGACCGTCAATTTGCGTCTATATACCAATTAAGAAGAAAGAGAAGAAAATAAAATAAAACAATCGTTTCTGCAAATTCATCCTTTGTTCACTTTAAAAAGACACGTTTACGCGAATTTTAAAACACACACTCGCAGACAAGTGAAAAAACCATTTCGCCGCGCTGAAAGTGAATTTAGGCGTTTCCCGTCGAGTCGAAAGGATGGAAAATCTTGCTTGGCTAAATTCAAGGGTGCGAGGTGCTCTATCGCATTTGGTCGTAGTCCGCCTCGACGGTCAATGCATTTCGAGGAGCTCCTGTCCCCTACGACTCTTATGTATGTATATATGGTATAACTCAGCGACCACGGAAGCGTCACCCTAGAAAAGATTTCGCTCATGCATTTGCTGCTGCTTTTTTTGCCTCTTCGCTTCTACACGGACAAAACATGCGATTTCCGGGAAAAGAAGCGAAGGACGGGGTTGGAAAAGTTGTCCGGCATATCTGGAAGGTATGATCGAAAAATGAGAAGGCAAAAAAAAACGTATATTGCATGGAAAAATGAGGGCCCCTCGGAATGAGATTCTCAGCTCGCTGTCCTTTCGTGGATTATCTAAAATGTATGGCTTTACTTTTATTTTTTAAATAACGAGCCCCCTTATCTCGCACTTTCGTATCTCCGAAAACGCCCTTGTTCGATCCGACGAATACATCGACTTGAGCCTTTGAAAAGGTAGTGCTGGATAACGTGTTGTTCCTCACTTTATCTCTCGATTCTGTCGAAAGAAAAAAAATCACAGAGTTGCTCCCGATAATCCGTATTTACACGCGCCTCGGGTAATTCGGTTAAAGTCGCCGCCCCGAGAACAATCGCCTCGAGTCTCTTTCTCCGTCTTCTTTTCTCTGTCCGCGATAATCGAATCCGTTTGGTTCCGTTTGTCCCCCCCTGCCACTTTTTCTCTTTTCAACGATCGATCGATGTACAGCTCATGGCGCTGCGTCGCCTTTTTTTCCCCTTCACCTTCTCGCCTCCGTTCTTTGCGGCTTTGGGGGGAAAAAAAAGTTACCGCTCCCTTTAATTACCTCCAAAGTGTCGAAGTTTCCCGCAAATCGAGAGTTTTTTTTATCGGGAATCCGATTTTGTTTAAATTAATTTTTCAATTTTTACCGATCGGTATTGCCGTCGAGCGCGAGTTAATTTATTGGGTACACGAGCGTTGACACACCTTTTGAAAAGCTCCGACTTTGATTGGTAATGATTAATTAGATTACGGCGAATAATCAATACGCATCAATTATCGTCCCTAATTGTGCGGTGCAACGTATCTAATAAATTTCATCATCAAATGCATCACTACCGAGGCTCCGATATTTCATCAAGCGAAATATCGAGTATCGGATTAATGTAGGTGAATTCCCTTTATAAATAGTTACAAGTAATTTCATGTTGGTATATGTTTTATATTTTACATGGTATTTTTGCGTTAATCGTTCAAGACGATTGTTCAGTTGAGTTAAATCGTTGATTTTACTACTTCACTTCAAAAGCGCTTAATTTCACTACTCTGATGCATTTTATGAAAATAGAACTATCCAAACGTATTGTTTTAACGCAATTGAATCAAAATAGTGGAATTTCTCATCACTGGCAATTAAAATTTTGATTGCTTCATGGATGTGTGGAATGCTGTTAAAGTTCAATGTCATAAGCCTCCTGAACCGTTCATGACTATTCGATGATATAAAAACACGAGCCAGTCCGATATCAAAACAATGCCATCAATATTTATATCTAATGCTTTTAGCTCAGTCAAAACCAGTGTACGAAGAAATTATTAAAAATAGTGATGATCCACCCTGACTCCCAATAGTAGATGATGCTTATTGTAACGCGAGGCGTAAAAAGCTCAACGATATACTAAGTTATCCTTGGCTGGAGTTTAATGTACAACTCATGATACCAAAATAAAAAAAAAAATAATCGCAAATCCTTTCCATTGAAAAATTGCAGTAATTACATTGAGAGAGCTGAGACGTATTTAAACGTATTTACTTGCCAAGTGAGTATAGAAAACAAAAAAGAATGGTACAAGAGAAAAAGGAAACCCGATAGCCCTCGAACGCTCGTGCGGAAACTGGAGAGTACGCACGTGAGCCTCGCGGTCGATGACACCGGACGAAAAGTTATATTATAAAAGAGCGGCTGCCTGATGAGGGCCCTTTGTCCTCCATCGGCTTTGTACCGCTGCAGAAACGCTGGCGCACGATACTCTGTGCGACGTGACTCGGCCGCTGGTCATTTCATATCGGTTTAGCGATTGACGTTTATTGTTTCGCGGCGTTCTCGTTTACAATAGAAAAGGTGGCACATGGTGCAGTACATATACGGTTGACGCTTGATTGTATTTGGATTAAATTTTTTTTTTTCTTTTTCTTCCAAATCCGCCATATTTTTGGTTCTTGGGAGACTTGGGGTACCAGAGGTAAACTTTTCGCATTTTTGAACGATACCCCCTATTATCGCTACAACTTATTAAAAAAGTCCTGTCATTCTGTGCAGCCTCGACAATTTTTGTACAGCGCTGAGTTAAAAAGTTTTAATCATATCAGCAACTTCCAGGCTGCTTCTGTAGTATACATTTTCTAGAATAAGCCGATACGTAACTACATTTTTTAGAAGCACTTGACACGAGTAGGGTTTTTAGGGACGAGAAGTTGTATTTGATTTTTTAAGGTTTTAGTTTTTTTCCTTAATGAAAAAATAAAACATAAGATACAAGTAAATCTATAAACTCTACCACAGGATTTTCAATTTTTATAACGCCATGATAATTGTGTAAAATAATAAAAGCTTTAATGTATATTCTCGATAAATTCAGTGAGTTGCTCATATGACAAGAAGCAATTTGTGAAATTCCGATTAAGCTACTCGCTTTGATAAAAACTTATCTTTCCGATAAATTAAAATAACAATTACTGTATTACGCTATATCAACGAGTGCGGCACTCGTCAGTACTCCAGTAAATGTATAGCAAGCGCGTCGCACGAGATATTTTAGACTATGGAGGTAAGTTAACATTTTATGTAATAGTTTTTTTAAACATTTTCGGAATATTCAACGCAACAATGTCTTTTAAGATGTTTTTTCAATTTCGGTTCAAAGAAACAATATTATTTGAAGGATGGCGGACAACAGATCTCCGAGGAATAATTTATTCGAGTATAGGAATCATACTTTTGGGCATCATTTATGAAGCTTTGAAAAATTATCGGTAACAGCATTAATAATAATAATAATCGACATAGTTTTTGTATACTTGAAGACATTACTGAATCAAGAATGTATTTATTTTAGGGAATACTTAAACGTCTCAATTGCAATCCAAAATACTGGTCAAAAATCGAGAGTGTGAGTGTTTTGCATTTTTTAAATTTTACATTAATGGAATTTAATCATGAGTTGAATTTATTTTCTAGGCAATCTATTTTTTCCGTGGTACATTTCGTTCAAACTTTATTGCAAGGAATTCAAATAACAATAAGTTATTTTTTAATGTTTATATTTATGACCTATAACGTTTATTTGTGCATTGCTGTAACTATTGGTATTATGCTGGGGTATTTTCTTTTTTCATGGAATAACACTAGGTGTGACATCAACCAGTGTTGTTCATAATTAGAGCGTAGTCAGTTGTTAAACATTTTCATCACGTTACCTTCAAATTTGAATAGTAAAATTCATGGCTGAAATGTTTAATGCTGTAATTTGACAAATTGTGATCGTAGATTATTGAATTAATAGATTGTGAAACATTAAACTCTTGTAAACATAGTATTGTACAGAGAAAGCAGTTTTTTTATGATATTAAGTCAATTTTACGTTTATTGAAAAAGAGAAAATATTGTTATCTCAATTTTTCAAGATATTTAATTTTGTTATTGTCTTACGGATTCGATAGCACTTGGCTCTTATCTATTTATTTATTGTTACAGTGTAATTAACTCAAAATACTTTTGCTTTATAATAATTCAAGTATTATAAAAATTGTTTATTTTCCACGATTTATTGTTCTTAAATTGTTTAAAAAATTAATTTTTAAGAAAAAAACTACTAAGAAGCCGATAAAATATACAACTGAACTTTTTTTCTTGTCATACAACGATTTTTAAAAACAAGATAGTGAAAATCCGACATTAGTTGTAGACCGAACGATAAGTTTATCTTATCAATGACACCTACATTTTTATTTTCCTTTATTTTGTCAGAGCAACGTATTGACCTCTCTGATTGTTCAGTATTGAGAGAAATAAGTTAGCACCAAATAAAAAATAATTCAAGTTTGTATCGTACATTCATTGCAACCTAAAGCAATTTAAAAGATTTCGCCATGTTCAATAGTTACTCTAGAGACGTACCACCGGGGACACCGAGTCGTCCCTCGAAAAGTACGAGTGAAATTATATTTGGTTGGGACAGATTCAATACTTGGGTTTTAGCATTAGTAATTGTATTGTTCTGCGTTTGGGGGGTCAGTTTCTTCACTTTTTATAAACCTGACTCAACAAACGATCCACCTCCGAGTCATGAAGGTCACCATCACCCAATGGGTCATTCTCATCCTTAAAGTGAGTACTTTAATATTTGTGAGTAAAATATAAATTTTTATGAGCCGTACATTTTTTACAGGTTAAAAATACTGACTGACGTTTTAATTATTCGCATTTATTTCACGGACGACTATGAAATATGTAATGAAATTAGTGCCAGAGTTATTAATATGAATGTAAATGTTATCCAAACATTATAAATTCTTAATATTTACTTTGTGAGTGCTTTTGATGCTTATCTTACGTAAAGTAATTTGAAGAGGGATGGTCCGTCATTTAATATTTATAATTTAAAATAATTAAAATTACTCATGTAATAATTATAAAGTATGATGCGTAATAAAAAGTATTAAATCTTTGTACGATTCCTTTATTGAAAAGCTCTATGATCTACCATTTCTTTAATTTGTAGGATGCACTCACTATACTATGTGTACGCTCGAAACCTTGTCGGTTTGACTAGGCTTCGCAGTTACGTTTTATAGGGAGAGGATAAAGAAAGAATAAATACTGCACTTAGGGAAAAAAGCCGGGAGGCATAAGAAAACCCAATTTATTTATGAAATAAAAACAAATACAATCCGGATTAAATGCAACTGAATTAAACTGAATATTACGAACGTTAAATGATACACTGAATAACTAAGAATAAAATACAATACAAAGATGTGAGCCAACGTGTGTGTGTGTGTGTGTGTGTGAATGCAACTCAGAGCTGCTCGTTGACGGCGCGTCGCTAACCTGGCCGGGTCGTTCGCGCTGATGCGAGAGCGACGGTGTCGTGGGTGGCTGGGCCACTGATCGCGTGTGGCACGGATCACTTCGGTGTGTCCACGAGGACGCTGGTGCGTCGCGGTCGCGAACACGTGAATATACCGCGGCGTATCGATCAGAAGGCGGGATTGAGAAAGAGCACACAAAAAAGGCACGGCGTTCGTAAAACGTAATCTACGTGAGAAAAACACGAGGTCACAGAAAAACTACTATAAGCACGAATTACTACGGTGAGTCCCAAGAGAGCCGACATAAGTATCTCAAGAGAGCCAGGCGTAGAGTGACCTCATTACTTAAAACAAAAGGTTATTAGTTCTGATGCGTCGGCGCTGGTCAAGACTCTCCCCCCTCCCTCTCTCCATTAAGGCAGGGAGAGACTCGATCCTGTCTCGACTAATTGGTGTGACAACTGTCTCTTTCTCTTTCCCTCCTCTTTTCTTGCTGTACATATACAAGTGCGGATGTGTGTGCACGATTGCACGGAAGCAAAGTCTTCCTTCCTTGAATTATGGACCGACGCGGCTATTATAGAGGTATATTCCATAACGAACCGACGGAACACTATGTAAATGACAACCCACCAATCTTAAGAAATACCTGGTTATAAATAGATGTTATTTTATAGATTATCTCACAGAAAACCCCAAAAATTATAAGTCTCAATTCTCATCCGCGAAATTCCTGCCACGTGATTTGATTCAGATGGCTATCAACGATCTGTCATTAAGTCATTGACCAGCAAAGGAAATGAACTAAAACACCAGCTGCGTGCCGTTCATTCATCAAAAAACAAAACACCCAACTGTGCACGTGTCGCGTGGTCGAGCTATACGAGATGTTTATTCGCGGGACAGCTCACGGCCCATTATCTGCACGCTCGGGGTAGACAATGAAGCCGTGCGTTATATTGTCACGCCATCAATCATAGGCGTTAAGGGCAACACTGGGCTGCGGAGCAAGGCTTATTGATAGGTGGTGTATTTTGAATGCCTGGCATCTCGTAAGTCACGCCAACTAATCGATTATAATGATGGTACAGGGGCTCGCTTGGGGGAGGTTGTTGTTACCTTAACGCGTCAATGTGCCTCCGTGTGCAGTTACGATGTTTATTATTTTTTTTAGATTACCTTTTCGCGTGAGAGACTTGGAATAATCCTTGCTTTGAAGTGTTTGTTTACTCATTGCTCTTTAAATTTTTTTTTTTAATTTGTCCAGATGTAAAACAATAACCCCATCTATAGATGAATATTGTGTTGAAAATATGTGGCTATTCTCTAAATTTGATATTTTTGAACTAGAATATTCTAACTCTCCAGTATCCTACAGATTAGCTTGTTATACCACACAAGGCTTGAAAAAAGTAGTGGTGACCATTTAAGTTCAATATTTTTTAACTAAAAATAATCAAAAACTAAAAACCGCTATGTCTCCGTAAATAATGGGGATATCCCGAAAAGGACGATAATTTCTGATCACAAAAATATAACAATTTACTTTTGAAACTGCTAGAATTTAGCTACTTAAAACGATTACATATTCGTTACTAACACTCACATGTCTTTCAAGTTAGCTTATTTTATCACACAGAGGCCTAAGAAAATAGTGGCTATCCTTTAAGTTTGATATTATTAATCTAGAAATGATAGAAAACTTAAAACCGCTATATCTCCGGAAATAATGGAGGTATTGCGAGAAGGACGATTGAGAAAAGAATTTTTTATTGAAACTGTGTGATTTTGGCAACTTGTAACGAACAAATATTCGTTCCCAACCCTCCAATATCCCACAGATTAGCTAATTTTACCACACAAAGGCCGAAAAAAAACTATTGTATAATATTGTTTAAAAGAAAATTAACGATAATATTGTTTTTGATTCGAAAAAATCACCTAACGTATAATCTTTTTTCTGTTTCAGGTAAGCCCTCAGAATCAACTGACGTTGAACATTTTTTCCGTGAGTGTTGCTGGTTTAAAGAATTGAAAATATCCTGAAAATACCCGTAGAGCCCCATCACCCTAGAAAATCCCTCGTTTCGACTGGAAAATAAGTACTGCGTCGGAAACGTGATCCGGCACTCCTAATCGTAAAAGAGTCCCCAGCGTTTCTTGACAATCTCCTCGAACGAGACTAGTTCCACGCGCGGGCCTAGAAAAATACGCGACATTTCCCTCTATAGTACTTTTATTCAACCCACCTCTTTTTTTTTTCTGTGATCGCATTCGAGTAGCCGAACTGTTTTACGACCAGATAAAAAAAAAAAAAATAAAAAACGTATCGCACGGGGCTCGTAAATTTTACCCCGTCCTTTAATCCAGACTCCCGCTCTGGGACGTGATTCTCGACGCTTTATTTATTTTAATCTTGTAAATTTTTTAATTTAAATTGTCTAATGACTTTCGATGAATTTTTTCAAGATCTTTTTAAAGCACCCGATTCTCTTAATATTCCGTTGATGCAACAATGCCTTTATATTGTAGACACAACAATCGATCGCTCGTTTTAATGCTCGTCTGACCCTAATTAAAAAGTATAACAATCTTAACGCTACAAAAGAAAGTACTATACTATTGTTTATCTCGCGTGACAACGTTAGATATCATTTTCAAGTACAGTAGAGCACCAATAAAACGTGCACGTGTAGGAGTGAAAAAAAAAAAAAAAAAAAAAAGACAAAAAGTATTTCACTATCTCTAGAACGCATATAAATACACGAGCCTCCCCCCGCCGTATGGCTCTTATCTTCCAAGCTAGTTGAAAGTCTCGTATACCCACCTACATCTGATGAAACTATCTGTGTCGAGAATCAGCTCCGCAGGCTGCTATTTGCGTTTATTTACACGTCCCGCAGGAAGGCAGGCTTACAATCACGCGCCGGGCAGCCGCGAATACACATCGCCATCCGTATGTATGTACAGCACGGGAAGCGGAAATGACGCGCGATATCCTCGTCCAGCTTTTCCACGGGGAAGGGGTGCCTATACTTGGGCGGATGGAAGCCTGGAGAGACACGTCCCCTGAGTTGGCTTTCCACCGGTACCGAAGCCACTTGGACAATTTCGCGCGAGTTTAACGAGCGACGTGTGTCCGGAAGCTTCCCCCCCTCCCATCAGCCGAGTTGTTCTAACGACCCGATCGGCGCTTCGTGCTCCGAGTGGTGTCCGCGCACCTCCAACTTGTTCGAGCTTTTTGATTGCCTCGGAGTACCGTCGAATTGTTTTCGCCACCGATCGTTACGTCCCAGTTTCAAGTGAGCGGTGTAGATCCGAGGGTTAACTTTCCTCCGTTTTTGCA